TCGGGAGAGAGAAGGAAGCCATGTTGGGCAGAGGGAGAAAAGTTATGATGCTGCCTTACCAAAGCTTCGGCCAAGTCCATGGAGTTTTGGGACTAAAATGAGCCCTCCAACTTGTCTGATGTTCAGCTGAAATGACTAAGACTTTTTTATTAATTTTTTTTAACACCAGAAGCATTTTGTATTAGGGTCTAGCCAACTAACAATGTTGTGATAGTTTCAGGTGAAAAGCAACGGGACTCAGCCATATGTATACATGTATCCATTCTCCCCCAAAACCCCCTCTGAAATGGCTGAGGCTTTTATACCATGAGGCGCGGGCTGCCCTGGAGAGGCCGAAGGGGGCTCCCTGCAGCTGAGGTGGTCCCTGGAGGGGCTGGCACCTCTCCTAGCAGTGGGGGCAACCCATTTCACAGAAGGGGGCTCTGGGTGGTGCAGCTCTCTGTCTGCCACACAGAGGAGATTCTTCAAGGGACAGCTGGGGTGGTTGAATCTCACATGGAAGGATCTCATCTTCATGCCTGGTTCATGGTAGGCAGTCAGTCAAGTGTGGTACTGCTGTCAGTTCTCCGGGATTGTGGGTTCCACTTACTCCTGCCGGATGTCCTTGGGCTGGTCAGCCCATTCCCTGCCATTTCAGGTTCCTGGCCAGCAAAGCATGGAGACTCTTGGTTGCTAGTTGCCTACCCAAGTCACGTGTTTTAAGTATCCATAATCAAATCTGCTAAAGAAATACAAGAAAAATAACATTATTTTAGTTTAAAAATCAGAGTTGAATGAGGGTCACATTCTGACATCATTGGCTATGTGGGGATATGCCTGCTTTCTTCTATTTTCTCCTTTTATTTAATAGCCATGGGCATAGAAACTCACCATAAAAAAAAAAATCCTCATGGGAGCTAGTAAACTACAAAAGGATGAGCTCTTTCCTCTTTTGTTGAATTTAGTAACTTCCTTTTTGCCAAAATGGTACCCATGTGTTGGGTAGACTGTAGGAGAACAGGGACCATGGAGGGCTGCAGCCTCATTGGGTGTCAGCTGCTCCAAACATGTGCTTTGGAGAATTTCAGAAATTCTGCTATTTTTCAGAAGTGAAATTCATTAGCTTTGTTGTAAGCATCTATAAATACAGTGAAAGGCATTTACAAATAGACATTGTAAAACGCTTCCACACCCACAGTCTGAACACTGTCAAAACACCAGCTGCAGCTTCCCTACTTGGAAGGATCAGAACCTTTTTTAAACTACACCTACTGTGTTTTCAAAATAGGCTTGCTTCTGGCCCTGTGTAGAAGATAATTTCAGCTGAAAGCCTGTGTCTGCTCTTGGCATGAGGGATCAGAGTTCATTTAGAGATGGGGGTGTCCCAGTCTCCTTCCTGTCAGAATATGGTGGGCACTTTAGAATCTGGGGAGGGGTCACTCACGGGTGCTGTTTCCTATTTCTTTAGGCGGGCGTGTCTCATAGCCTGGCCCTGTCAGTGTAGGCTTTGTAACTCCACTACGCACCCACCCCCACCACAACTGGTTCCCAGGTGAGTTCCAGGTGTGGTCATAGGGGATCACAGAGGCCCCTGGATTGGGGAGATCCTTAAAGGAGAGTTTGTAGGCAGGGGCCAAGCAGTCTTGTCTTTTACCTGGATGATACTATTGGGGAGAAATGGGAGCAAACAGAAGCTGCCTAAATTGTACGCATCTCTTTTATTGAATGTGAACTTTAAAAAAAAAAGAGTGAACTTTCAAAGGAAGGAAAAATTCACCTATAGGCTTATCCTAGAGACAACTGCTATTAACATTTCAAACTGTTTCTTGCCCATCTTTTTCGTATGTATGACTCGGTTTGTTTTCCATTGCTTTTACACAGGTGTGATCATACTGAATGTCGTACAACTTTATGTCTTTTGGGGAAAAGTGTGATTCTTATAAATACATAATGCATTCCCATTTCAGGAAAAAAAAAGGCAAATGTTCATTCATTCCACAAGTATCTTTGAGCTCCTGCCATATACCAGGTGCTGGGCTGGTGCTAGAAATCACCCATCAGACTCGCCAGGAATAGCCACTGTAAATACATGTTCTTCTCGCCTTAAAAAAAAATCCCTCTTCCTAATATATCAGAAGGGCATGTGGGTGCCTGTGAAGTAAGGTGTATGTCAATTTTAACTTGTGCTTTTTAGTTGACATTGTAACATAAGCATTTGTGCCTGTTGTCATGAACTGTTTATGCATATCATTTTAATGGTTATATCAAAGTCCATCAAATATAGTTTTTCAACTGTTCCCCTATTTATGAAAAATTCCAGTTCTTTTCAGTTTTTCTATATTACAGATAATGCTATGAGAAACATCTTGATCCAAAAAACCCATTTGGGTATTTCAGACTATCTCTTTAGCATAGACCCCCAGATGAATGTTTCAAATGCTATGAATATATATCCCATTCTGAAAAATTACTTCTTTTTACCCTGCCCTGGTCCCCAAAGGCTTGGAGGTAACTTTTGAAAATGCATATAAAAGAATAAAATAGTTAAAATGGTGACAATAAAGTGGAAATGAGGGCAGATAAGTAATACAGCCCAAAATCAGATGAGCACAGCAATGCACATAGAGTGCTCTAGGGCCCCTCGAGAGAGAGAGGCTCACGTTGAACTGGAAGCTTCCATGTGTCAAACCAAAGAGGGAAATGGTAGCTACAAGATTCACAGTTCCCAAAATGCACGAATAAGCCACATGTTCAGAAGCAGCTGAGTTGTTCTGAGATACGCGTGGTTCACTGATGTGCATAGTTCCTCTCCCCACCTGCACCTCCAACACCCCCACCTCTGCCCTGATGGTCTCTGCAGTGTCACCTCCAATCATCTTCCCCTTTGGCCAAAAGAAAAAAAGGCTAGTGGAATTAACTGGACCTTCCTTGCCTGAGTGACATCTCTCCCTGGACAGAACATGTGCTCTCGTTAAGTTTTAGTCCTTGGTCTGTTCCCAAAGGACAGTTAGCTGGCTGTGAGCATGACTTGAGTGTAGTCCATGAATAGGGAAGATGACAGCCCCAAATCATTCCAGCTCCATAGCTACCAATTAATAAGATTAAGAACACTCAAGAATTTTTAAAAATGAAAGTGCTTTCTTACTAAGAGTAAGAAATGCATTTCTAAAGCATTTCGTTCAGAAGGTCACATTCAAATTAGCAGATGCAGGAGCCCTGCCAGTAAAGTGTTTGGAAATAAATGTCCTCAATCCTGCCACTCCAGTGGGCTCGGCGTTTGTCCAGACGAGTGTGCTTGTGGGGCCTGGGCTTCAGGAGCCGGGGACCAGGGGGTTACCTGTGGCAGCTCAGCCCAGGGCTCCCCAGCTTGGGGTTGAGGCGAGGCAGTGTCCTGCTGCTCTCACACAGTCCGCAAGTTGTCTTTCCTCTTGGTGGGGACCAAGCCACCTAGCCTAGCCCTGGTCCCCTGGAGTTCTCACATCTGCTCATCTTCTGGCAAGGGCGCTTGAGGTTGAGAGTCAGTCTGGTTCATCTGGGAGCTGAGGGAAGCTGACCTCTTTCTCCTGGGCCTTCTCCACTGTCAGAAGGATATGCGTGTCTTGCTGAATGCCATCCCCATCACCTCTTCTTGAGTAAGGAACCCAGAAGGCTGCCTCTTACCTCCAGGTTCATGGGTCGCCAGCTTCAGCCTTCTTCTGTCCCCATTGCCTCCAGGACACACTGAACCCTGTGGAACTCAGCCCAACACCATCTGACCTTTGCCAGCCTTTGTCCTTTCACTGCTCTCTGGGGACCTCAGACTTCAGTCCTAAGGCTCCCTGGCTACTCTGGGCCCTCCCAGATGCCTTGGGCCCTTGCTCTATCACATCCTTTCTCCCTTTTCCACCAAAGCCCAACTATAAGGCCACCTTCTCTGTGTGCCTATGGCCTGCCTACAGGTATCTGTCCTGACCCGGTTCTTGATTCCCCGAAGACTGAGATGCCCCTGTATCTTACTCAGCCTATGCCATGTGTGCTCGGGGCTCTCTGTCTGTCTCTTTCCCCCATTTAGACCATGAGACACCCCCTAGAGTGGGTACCTCCTGGCTTGGCCCTCTGATTACCAAGTACCTCTCATTACTCAATAGCCATCAGTGTTGTGGGTATTTGACAAATGCTCCTGGAGTGAATCTGTTACTTGTGTAGTTTGGCTACATAGTGACCATGGGGGCTGTGACAAAAGTCTCTTGCTTTAAGAGCAAAGATCTGCCTGTTTCACTTGCCATCACAGACCTTGGAAAATCTAGTTCATGGCTCATTTCCCTGAAAGGGTCCCCAGAACTGCCCATTTTGGGGAGACTTGGAGGAATCTTTTGCCTGTGCATGAGTGGCCTGTTCCTCTCATCATCTTGGAGGCCTGTCCCCATCCTCCCAATGGGCTGCTCCTAGCCCACATACAGAGGGAAGTCTCTCGTGTCCCGACGGGCCTGGGGGCACCCACCCAACAGCTGTCTCATTTTACGGGCCCCCACCCCAGCGCCAACCTTCAGGCTGCCAGATCTCAACTTGACACCTTGTGCCTGTCAACAGCCTGGCTGATGCCTCAGCTCCAGGCCAGAAACCCTTTTTCTCAAGGTTAAAAGTAGCCGACCTTTGACAAGCAGCACTGGCTAAATTCCTGGCTCCTTAAAAGGGAAGCTTCTGGTTATCGTTCACTGGTGCTTATTTGGCCATGGGGAGGGAGCAGGCGCTACGTCGCACCCTGTGGGCCAGCAGGATTTGTGGCTGAAGGTGCCTTGCTGAACACTCGTTATTAAAATAGCCATCTTTGAAAATGTGTGCGGGAGAGGAGGGCTTTCAGTGTATCGGCTGTTTTGCACCAAGTCCCACGTGGTTGGACAGCTTGTCAGCTCCCACTGGCCCCCTCACAGGAAGCAGTGCGACCCACCCCAGGCGCCACATACCCCTTAAATTGTGTGCAAGAAAGCTGACAAAATGATGAAGACACATGCCAGTTATTAAAAGACGTGTCTTTAATGTAGGGGTGACGGTGCCAAGATCGACTTGGTGGGCAGCTCGATACCTGGCATGCTGGACAAGGACCTCTCAGACCGCAGCAATGACATTGGTGAGTAAGGAGAGCATTCTCCGTTCTCTTTGCAAAACTTGAAAGGAACTGCAGAGTGTGGTTTGCCCCTTCCAGAGGCCTGATGTCAACTAACACAACCATTTAAATGTGAAGCTTACAGCCCTCGGTCAGTTTTGATGTTGCAGTTTTATAAAGAAGGGACATGAGGATGGTTTTCACATTAAAACAGAATGCCTGGGATTTTTACTCTTCCCGACCTTAGGAGAAATTCCTTGCGAGGTCTAATGAAAAGAAATGATGAATAAACCTTTTGGAGAAGTGGGCATTAGCATTTATATTCATATTTTCCAGCAATTTATGTATTTAGTGTAAAAAGGTGAATGGGTGGACATGCCACGTGGCAGAATTCACTGTAGACACAGCACTAAGTGTTTTGACTTTGAGTTAAAAATGAGCTTTGATAGAGTAATTGCCACTAAGTTTGGAACATGAGTTTTCCCAAGGTCAAGATCCCACCATGTGACAAATGGGAAGGTAGCTGGAGCCTGTGGGTAAACAAGTCCGAGGGCTTTGGGGGGTGGGGGCGGGTTGTGCATGGATGGAGTGTGGTCAAGTGCATGCTGGTTGAGGCCACTGTTTGGGTGATAGCCCTTTGAAGAAGTCTGGGTTCAGGGACTACATTTCTTTCATCTTTACATCTTTATTTGTACCCATCATGGCCAGAAGTATACATTTTGGAATTAGCCTTTTATAAGTGAAATTTTTTATTTTGAAATAGAGGTTCACACACAATTGTAAGAAACAATGAAGAGAGATCCACATACCCTTTGCCCAGTGTCTTCCAGTGGTAACATCTTATGAAACTAGAGTGCATAGTCACAGCAGGATATTGACATTAACACAGCCCACTGGACTCTTCAGTTGTAGCAGTGCTTGCATGTGTTTAGTTCTCTGCACTTAGGTCACATGTGTAAGTTTATATATCCACCACTAGAGTCAAGATGCAGAACATTTCTATCACCTCTAGGATCCCTCGTGTGGCCTTTTTATAACTATTAATACTAAGCACACCTCCCACCCCCCCTTCCCTTCCCTAAGCTCTGGCAGCCACTATCAGGGATTGATTTGAGGTGGAAGGTTCTAGCATGATTTGCATCGGCTGCTCAATTTAGAAACAAACGGCTGACAGCAGACCTTGTAAGAGGTACTGGGGCGCCTGTCATGAGCAATCTCATCACCCGGGGTTACTCTTTTTGGGGTGCTGTTTTATTCTGAACTTACTAATTGAACTGCATCTTTGCAACTGCTGACCTTCAGTCTGGTCCGGTCTTATGACAGCCTGGGAGTACAATATGTTGTTGTGACCATAAACACCACAAGTACTTGCCCTGGTTTCAGAAACTCTTTTACATCCTCTCTTAGCCTTTGAGAAGCCTGGTCAGGAAGTGTGACCAGGAGCTTCTGACAGCTTGGGCTGATGCAACAATAATAGCAACGCTGGCCTGCTGCAGCTTTGGACCTGGTTAAAGGGCAGAAAAGAGCAGAGCAGCCATTGGCTGTGAACGAGAAGGAATCATCAGAATGAGCATGATTAAGTTCTGGCTTCACTGCTATGGTTCAGCCTTTGGGCCCTGTGCTAAGGCCAGCTGGCCCATTGGCAAAGTGGCAGTGAGGGTCCCGTGGGGCGCCCCCAGGAAAGGAGGCGTCACCCACGTCCAGGATGCACAGGGCTGTGCCCTGCTGTGAAGGGCATTGGCCCCTGAGTCTTGTTTCCTTTGGGTCTGGAGATGGCTAAGGTGGCTGTCACAAAAATAAGAATCCTAGGATTTTCAGTTTGATGATCTAGTTTGAAAATACTGGGGCATTGATGGAGGCAGCTTAGCCTATGAAAACTTTTCATACTGTGTATGGATCAGGGAGCCCAGAAAGAGATGCTGAGGTTTGGTTCACTCTCATTTTGCCAAGAAGATATTAATCCCAGAAGACTAATTCCTCAAGCTAATAATTTAATGTATATATTATTTGCATTGCCAGAAATAATGATTGGCAGCCTTGTCAACAACCACTAAATACTTGAATACCTACTCTTCAAGTGCAAGGTTCAATAGATGCCAGGGCCCTTGTACACAGGCCCCACTTTCCAGGGACTTTGGGTCTGTTGTGGCCCCCAAGACAGCAAATGGGAAGTGTCACACTGACTATGCTAACTGAGTGGTAGAAAGTAATACTGATCAGAGTTGGGGCTGCTCCGTGGTGTCCAGGATGTCAGGGCAGGCTCTGCAAAGTGGGACAGACTGACCTGGATCTGGAAGTTAGATTTGCTTCGGTCAAGGTAGAGGCAGGCAGGAAAGTCACATGGGGAGTGCTGATCCTGGGCATCGGTCAGCCTGGCGCAAAGCAAGGTGCTGACCCAGAAATGGAAGTCAGGGCTACTCTGAATTTGGGAGGGATGGATTTGTCATTTTTCTACAGGCAGTGGGAGCCATGGATGGTTGACACTGAAGTGACATGATCAAGTCTAAAAATTCAGATAGTAACTTACGGAGCTTTGTGGAACCCATCAAATGAAGGGTAGGTGGGTGTCTGGGAGTCAGATTTGTTGATAGTTTACCTGAGAGGTAGTGAGAGAGAGCCAGAGGCGAACTGCTCACAGGAGGATTGGAAAGAAGGGGGGTAGCTGTGGAGCAGCAGTGAGAGAGAATGATCACTGGTCCTCGGGAGCAGATTGATTTGGGAGTGGGGAGGAGGAGGGACTTATTTGTTAGCTCTGAGGTTTTTTAGGGTTGGGAGACTGACTGAGGCAGGGGAGTGAATTGGATTGGAACAAACATATCCGGAGGAGAAACTGGTGTGAGGTAAACCTGATGAATTTAGGCATGTTGACACTGAGATGTGGTCAGACATCCCGCATCAGTGCTCCATGTGGACTGAAGGTGGAGGTTGAGGCCAGAGAAGTGGGCAGGGATTTCAGTGGAGATTAGAACCTTCCAGGAGACGAGAAGGCAAAGCTTGGCACCTGCGGACCTGGGTTTGAGTGCTGTTGACTGTGCTGCTTCCTGGCTCGGTGACCTTCTGTAATTTACACCAACTCTCTGAGATTCAACTTGCTTTCTCCATAAAGACTACTACTGTCTCTCTCAGCTTCTCCACCTTGTCTTCCAGAATTATGTAAAATCACTTGATGAGCTGTCAAAAGGCAGAGATGCTTATTTTTCATGTTGTTTTCTTAAAAGTGATAGTCAGGAAAATAAGTAAAATCCTTACCATGCAAAAAGACAAAGAAGGACCTAGAACTGAGGACTAAACCTGGTGCAAAGCCCACACCTAAGGGAAAAGTGGGCTCTTACAGCATCACCAGGGCCAGTGAAGGAGAGGACTTTAAGCAGTGTCTTAGGTCCAAATCCAGAAACATTCTTTGCAGGTGGGTCTGTCAAGATTAGGACATTGCCAAGGAGCTGGCTCTCTTCCGGGCTGCTTTTGTATATCTGCTTTTGTAGCATCAGTTCATTGCTTTGAATCAAGAAGGAAATTATCTGTACCAGAATGTTTTGTTAGTGATTCAGACAATTGAAGCTGTCCAAATGTGGGACACAGTGAAATCACAGAATACAGCCTTAAAACCCATTAGAAATCATTGTTGGTAGCTATAAATAAATCTGTGTTTCCTCTTAATAAAGCTATAATTTTAAATTATTATAATATTAAATTAGAGAACATGGCTTTTTCAGATCTCGTGTGGGCAGCTACCAGCATCTGTCTGCCCAAGATAATTGAGAATGAAATCAGTTGGTCCAAAGCTGACTTCTTGATGTCAGTTTGAGATATTGTTTGTATCAAACTGTGTGGCCATATTTCAAGTAACATAATAGGAATACATGGATGAGCTCCAAACAGGCCTGCGCATGAATAGAAAGGAAAATTAAATTGTCCAGTTTTCTCTTGCTGATGGAAGAATCTCTGTTCCGATTGAATGGGAGATTATAGGCCGTGAAGTCAAGTGCCATAACATTTACTTTTATTATGCAGTATATTGTAGTTCCCATGGCATGGTGGGATTTCTTGTTACACTTCAATGCTACAGAGATTTTCTGTTCCTCTCCCACTGAAGCACATAGCAACGGGCTTCCAGGTGTGAAGCAGCCTGGGAACTAAGCCATCTAGTTGCAATTAATTGACTTCAAAAAAAGCCTCTCTCATTCCTCCTCAGTTGCTTGACTTCTTTGTTTTGACTCTTGTTTTCCATTCTATTCAAATCTCATCACACTTTTCCCACTTTGGTCTCTTTACATGGACGCCATCCCCTGTTCCCTTGAGGAAGCTGATTTCCCCTGTATTTTTTTCAGTGGACCCACAGTTTTCTTAAATTGGGGCCCACTCGGGCATTGACACAAATACAGGTATGGAATAGAATCATCACAAAGTGTTTGGGAAGCCTAGGAGTGCTTTCTTGGAATCTTTTATAGTAGAACATGCCTTTATAATCTTTTTGATTCTTTTTTGAGGTACAATTTGTGATAGTTTCTTCCAAGTAAAATAGCTGTGTGTATAATGTCCTAGTATTAGAATCATTCCTCCAGGGCAATGAAGAGCGTATGCTCGCTCTCTTCATTTCCCTCTGCTGTCATCCTGAGGTTACAGTGGAGAACTCATAGCCATGGGAGTGAGCAAAGGAGAGGAGAAAAGGAGTTAATAGTCACGGGATACCTACTAGACACTTGGTGTATTTTATATATTTTTCATCATCATCAACCCTGTGAGCGAGGTGTAATGTCTTATTTTACAAGGAAGGGGCAGGGACTAAAGAAAGTCAAGTGACTTGGGAAAGGTTAACTGGCTGGTAAATAGCAGATTTGGATTTGAACCTAGTTCCCCCTGACCCATAGAGCCCAAATTTTCCTGTTTATGCAGTTGGTCTGTATCAGCAGTTACCAATTCTTCTCCCCAGGGGACATTTGGCAATGTCTGGAAACATTTACGCTTATTACAATATGGTGGGAGTGGACATGCTACTGGCATCTAGTGAGTGGAGACCAGGGATG